CTGAAACTGCAGAACGTGTTGAGTGGCACATCGCGATCGAGAAATCAGAATTCCCACCACTGTACCACACTCTGTGTATCAGCCCAGGATCGAATCCCGATTACAACACAGAAATAGTCCTTTTCAGGCCTTTTGTGAAAATGGCGGTATCTAGTTACAAGCAAAAGTACCCGTCCCCAGTGAAAAGAAAAGGTTAAGTTAATCTATTAATTTAAATTATTTCATGGAGTTTAAAAAGCTGTGAGCTACTTATACCGCCAACCGCGAAAAGTAATTGTTGAGCATTTCAGTCATGCTAAGAGCGACTCAACAATAACATACGGTAAATCTACATTTTTATTCTTTTAGTTACGTCACATTTGGAAATTTGCCCCCCAGTGGCACAGCGGCATGTCTGCGGACTTACAACGTTAGAAACCGGGTCTCGATACCCGGGGTGGACAGAGCACAGATAGCCCATTGTGTAGCTTTGTGCTTAACTTCAAACAAACAAACAAACTTTTTCTGCGTGCGCAGTTTATCAAACTGGAAACAGACGAACGCTCAAACAGACACCACGGTTCGCAATAAAAAAAATATACAACATAAATCAGAGCATTTGTAATTTGTAATACAATTATTTGACCTTAACTTTCCAATGTTACTGTTCATGTTGTTAGTAAGTCTTAATGTGTGCTTATACTCTATCTCATCAGCTCCCTAAGCCTGAAATGTTGTCATAACGGGTAGTAAGTTATGTTTAGCCAATATTTCAGAAACTCGAAATTTGCATAAATATGATGTTAAGTTGTTATTTTTGTCCCCTTTAAATATTTGTACGATTAATATGTTTTAGTAATATTATCTTTCTAAAAACAAACACAAAATAATTACTATCTTCGTAAGGACTGCCAGGATACGTTTGATGGCTTGTAAAATAAATAATCTCTATAATTCAGAAAGAAACAACAATAGAGGTGTAATACGAGAGAGTTTTAAAACACAATTTGGAATACACTGTAATATGTAATAAAGTAGACTTCCTTTTATAATAAACTTGTTTATATGCATTTATGTATGTATGTGTCAGTTTCTGACTATAGTTAAGGTAATACATCCGGGTTAGTTTAAAGCTCCTTCAATCATACAAGTATTATTTACACTTTTCATGATATTAACTTTATTAATTATTATTCTTATTATACGAAATATCACACTTACTATTGTTAAAGATGTCATTAATAAGACCGAAGTATTGCCTGTAAAATAATCCCAATTGTAGTAAAGTGAAACAAAGCCTACAAGTAACTGTTTTTTTTTATATTGTTTTTTGAATTGTTCTTAGTTATATCGCAAAAACTAGTTTACTTCCTAGAGACGAAAGCCCCGAAAAACAGGACACTTTTACTTGTTAAAAACAACGAGTTGTTACAAACGAGCGTTATCAATAGATGTTTTATTTATTGTTATTTTAAGATTATATAGAATTGTTAGCTCTGTTAATAAAATCAGGATTATCCTGGATCTCCAAAGCTTGCTGAATCTCGTATGACGCGTACACAGCTGCTCTTAAACAAAGAGCGGGATTGACTGTCACAGGGCTACCAGTACTATTCTTACGCTAGCCGTCCCTAATTTAGCAGTGTAAGACTAGAGGGAAGGCAGCTAGTCATCACCACCCACCGCCAACTCTTGGGCTACTTTTTTACCAACGAATAGTGGGATTGACCGTTACATTATAACGCCCCCACGGCTGAAAGGGCGAGCATGTTTGGTGGTATGCGGATTCGAACCCGCGACCCTCAGATTGTGAGTCGAGCGCCTTATCCACCTGGCCATCAACTGTTTACAGAAAACATAAATAGAACCACACGATATAAATATCATATGATAAAAATAACTAACTCAAAGTTAAAAGTGAAACGTACCAGATAGTCCTCGTGTAGCTTTGCGCGAAATTCCAAAACAAACAAACTGTAAACAGTTACGTTGAAAATGAAACCTACGTTCTATTCAAGTAACAATAACTCTTTGCATAAAAGTTCCAGATTCAGGTATTTCTAATTCGTAACAAAGTAAACAATCAAGCAACACAGAAAATAGAAAAATAATCTGAGAATAAACAAGCATGTTATATGTTTCTCAAGTCACTCATCACTTCCATACTTTGCTGTTAAAAAATCTAACGGAAGATTTTTGATACATAGATCTGAGGAAGTAGACCGCCACTCCACTTCCAAAGCAGCTTCATGTGCATATTAAATTATTGTATTTTGTACCCATATATTTCGAAACAGTGTTTTTATTCTGAGGGAAGGGGGGTTCTGAAAGGACGGCGAGATACCTAACCAGTGTCGTTTTTATCGTGCGGGAAGGGGAGACACCTCAAACCACAACAGCAGTGTTTATGAAGCTGTAAATATAAAAGTGTTTCCACATTTAAATGTAACGGAAGTTGGTTCACACTCTCTACATCCCCGATTTATTTCCGATAAAGCTAAATGTGTAACCATATGTTTACAAAATTAAAAAAAAGGTTGAACTCTGTTGAAACTTAAACAGTTGACAGGTAGACTGGTATTGTTCAGGAGTTCAGGATAACAAGTTCGTCTGTTTTAGATTTTTAGAGTTCAACATTTTTTTTATGGGAATTGTAAAAATTGTATTGTTATATTAAACAATAAGCTTCATATTGTTTCTTCGACTGTGATTCGATTGTTTTCTCACAAAAACCAATCATCGTTAGCGACGATATCTTTAATGTAAGAAACTTCCTGGTTGGTTCTGATCACACTTAACGCTAAGCTACAGGTAGTTACAACTAGTCATTCCCTCTAAGTTCTGATTACGCAGTGACAGAGAAAACTTAGCTCAACATGACTGATCTTGCCTCTCGACTGATAACATTTTCAGTGTCGCCTTCCACTAGTGACGCCCATCAGGTATGTAGTTTTATATCAGCATTAAATATACTCAAAATAAGTTCACTTTGCATGTTATCTGAATGTCAGATAACAGTTCTTTCTTAATCCATGTTGCCAATGATACTTGTCATAAAGCAAGACTATTAGGCCTATTGTAGTTTCAAATATTCCGTTATACCCTCGGTCCATATCATAAGAGTATTAGGCCTATTGTAGTTTCAAATATTCCGTTATACCCTCGGTCCATATCATAAGAGTATTAGGCCTATTGTAGTTTCAAACATTCCGTTATACCCTCGGTCCATATCATAAGAGTATTTCAATCACACTGTTTACTGGTAGCTACGCAGTAAGTGTCTTTTTTGGAGGAAAAGCGTAATAGATCTTGTGGTTCGGACAATCCAGGTGTGCAAATGCTTGGTACAAACTGTGACATAAGCCGTCAGATATTAGATGAGGCTAAATTATTTGTTTGTATTTTACACGGATGATCTGGACCAGATGTGGACGAAATAATGTATTTTCCAAAGCAAAACAACTTATAGCAACACAATTCCATAACGACGAATGCTTTAAAAAGCATTTTCAATGTGCGAAATACCAAACACCCATTTAAACACGCGCTCTTGAATCTAATTTGCAGATCCCAAACCCCATAGGAAATATATAGAAGATGGTTATGGACATCTGCATCTCATGTGACATGCAGTTAGTGAGTGTTGGGTGCACAGGTTATTGCAACACGAGAGTATAATCATGTTTTGCTTACAACTTTCCTTGATGTATGGAAATATGGTAATCAATGTAGAAACAAAGATGTCACAACCATTACTGCTGATGGCGAATGTAGATGACTTAGTACTACATCATTAGTATGTGGTAATAAATGTGTCGCAGTTCTTACTGGTGATGAAGCTGAAGATGACTTACCAATGGTATGTGGTAAAAAATGTGTCGCATTTCTTACTGATGACGAAGATGATGGTGAGTGTAGATGACTGAGTACTACATCATTGGTATGTGGTAATAAATATGTCACAGTTCTTACTGGTGATGAAGCTGAAGATGAGTGAAGATGACTCAATACTACATCTTTTTCTTGATATTTGCGAAAAGATGTTTATTTAAAATATAAATTGATTAAAAACAAAGTATAAAAGATTGAATGGAATACGTTAGTAACATTAATATTCAGTTCCTCTCATAATAAATTAAGACTCATTTCAATACCCCCCCCCCCTCACTGATCAGGCTAGTAAGATCAGATATATTATATGGAATTAAAATACATTCTTTTTATTCCAAATTGACAACAAGCGTATTCTTACTCAGAAACTTATGCCCATCATTTAAGAAGGAAAAAATATTTGTTGCAACAAACTTCGAAAATAGGCTTCAAATGAGATCTGACTCATGGATTAATACATCTATAATTCACCAGTCTATCTTCATTAAATATCTACATTTTTATTAGTAAAAACTTTTGAATAAGCAGTGATAACTTTAACTGGTTACTTAATTATTTTTTCTTATAAGGTATTTGGAACTCGAGTACTTATTACTGCTGCTGTAGTTAGACTTACACCATTAATTTTATATATTTCGAGCTCCTACGGAGGCTGATCGTAAAAAAATCAAGTTTCGATACACGCGATGGACAAAGCACAGATAGCCCATTGTGTAGCTTTGCGCTTAATAACAACACAAACAATTTTGAAGTAATAGACTAGAGGGAAAGCAATTAGTCAACACCATCCATTATCAACTTTTGGACATCGTTTGTCAAAACGAATAATGAGAATTCACAGTCACGCTTATAACACTGCAACGGCCCTAATGTGTGTAACAATATTCTTTGTTTGTTTGTTGTTTATTAATCCATGGTTTACTACGTTAACCACTGGTTTCAATGATATAACTATATTAACAGTTTTTAGATGTTGTTTCAGGTTATAATGGAAATAATATATTTCAAAAAGTAAGGTAGTTAGTAGCATTGGAACCAACTAGATAACTTTAGGTGACTTTTAATAACGTGAAATGCTTTGAATATAAAACATTGTTAAAGTAACACACGTTTAAATTGTCTCTTTACAGGAACATTTCAAAAATGACAACCTTCAAGAAAGCTGTTCTGACTGTCAAAACATACTTGAAGGCATGAAACAAATTCACGAGGAATTGAAGAAGTATCTTGAGGAAGATGAAACAGCTCGAGCGCATTTCATTGAAAGTTTTGCTGCCTGGATTTCTACACGAGATAAATCCATTAAGTATCTCAACAAGATAGATATTCACTTCAAAAATACAAGTTTGGGTGATAAAATCTCAAAGATTGGTTCATCTGCTGGTAAAATAGGTGGCACTATGGCTGTGGTCGGAATTACTTTAGCACCAGTTACTGGCGGTTTTTCGTTAGGTTTAAGTGCAGGTGGCGCTGCTTTAGCAGCTGCTGGCAAATTAACTGCTGAAGGAGCAAATGTTGCAGGATCAATCATCTACAAAAACAAATGTCAAAAAATCATATCGACTCTGGATAAAGACACAAAACAAAGTGACGAACTTTTTAAAAATATGGAAACCCTGAAACGCTGTGACGAAAATCGGGAGGAACTCCTTAAAGAAGTAAAAGAGTTTATAGACATTATTGAGAATGGGGTAAATGCCAGTAAGTCAGTCGTGGGGCTTTTAGAGAAAGCAGTAGAATTTTCACAGAACTTAGCCCATCTTGAAGAAGTAACGTTTGAAAGTGCTGATAAAGTTTTAAAACAAACTTTTACAATTTCATCAGTAAATGGTACATTTGAAGAAAAGACAATTTGTGACCAGGTTGATCTTAAGCCACCTTCAAACCCGATCTCCCAAAGTTCTGGTGAGGGTTCAGTTGTATCCCCAGTAAAGAAAAAAAGAATTAGCATCAAATTGAAATCGAAAGATTCAAAAAAATAACTTCGTGACTTCATGACCTCATGAAATCTCCAGAGAAAAATATAGCTTGACCAAATGAAGGATTGTTATTGGAAAATAAATGATCACTTGCCATTAGGGTTATGATATTTCCGTTACATGAAAAGAGACCTGAACTTTATTAAAAAAGAAGAAAACAACAAAAAACAAATTCAACCCTTCTTACGTTTCATTTCCGGTTATACGAATCTGTTTTGTTTTTCAATTTTTGTAACCAAAGTTTGGTACAATAAACAATATCTTAATTCTGTATGACGTCATTATTCCTCCTTACGTTTTATTTCTGGTTATATGAACGTGTTTTTGTTTTTCCATTGTAACCAAAGCTTGGTACATTAAACAATTTCTTAATTCTGTATGACGTTATTTTCCTTCTTACGTTTTATTTCCGGTTATAAGAACGCGTTTTGTTTTTCCATTGTAACCAAAGTTTGGTACATTAAACAATATCTTAATTCTGTATGACGTTATTTTCCTTCTTACGTTTTATTTATTTTTTTATTGATCTTATGTATCGTTTACCATAGTTACCTCTCTTATTTGCCATGTCTGATAACCGTACGTTAGATTTCACTACAACTAAAGTCACTTATTTACCATGTCTGATAACCGTACGTTAGATTTCACTACAACTAAAGTCACTTATTT